CAGAAACAGAGTGACTGACCAGTCCACAATCAACAAGAAAGCTCCATAGAGAACTTTGGCTGTTACAGTTTTGTATGAATTCAAAGATTCTTAATTTCTCCACTCCCTTGCTAACTCCAGGTTTATATAAAAGCATTATTTATCTATTTTAATTAGGTTTTAGCATAGTTTATATGCTATCATTTTGAAATGTCAGTTATAAAGGTGAATCTTAAGGATATGAACAGTAAGGCAGTAAAACGATAGACCTGATTGTTGCACTGAGTTTGGGAAAACAAGCCTCGATACTTGTTTAAGCCTTCTTTCATACGGTCCCTTGTCTAGCCTGTCTAGAGCTGCACAAGAGTTCTTGAATCACCTAGATGATTGAAGTAAAAAAAAAAATACACACACCCGGGCTACATAAGAGTCGGGAATACTGGGTATAGAAGTGTTTCAAAGAGAAGAGAGACTAGGATTGTGTGAGTTCCAGAGCAAGTTTCTCTCTGTTCTCTCTGTCTCTCTGATATGACACCTGATGCAGTCACTCAGGATTCAAAGTCAGGAACAGATTGCCAAAAACACTATTCTTTTTTTTTTATAAAAATATGTTTTATTTATTTACTTTGCATGCGTGTGTGTGTGTGTATACCCACCCTGACACATGTGGAGTTTTGAGGGTCTCTCCTTCTACCATGTTGGTCTCCGGGAACACTCAGATTTCAGGCTCTGTGGCAGATGCCTTTACCCACTGAGCAATCTCACTGGCCCCAAAATTCCATTCTTAGTGCCAAGTGACTGTTCAATGAATCTGAATCCTGGCTTCTTGCCTAGAAATACCTCAATTACTCTTGTACTCAATTTATCTTTATGAAGGCAAATATCTCTGGGTTGCTCTTCTCAGTGTATCCTTCAGTTACACTGGTGAGCCCTGAGAAGCCTATGGTCAGTGTGTGGGAGCTGTAGGCCCCATTCTGCCATATGCCTTTGCCACCTCCTAGCAATGCTTCTGCAGTGGCTTTGGGGACCAGGGAAAACTCACATCAGGAACACGTGTATGTCAATGTATGTGCATAAAAACATCTCTCTCCTGATCTGTCATTTTGTAATGATGAACCCAACAACCTGCCTTTTAGAAAATAAATGCTCATGCTTTTCACCTGGCTTTACTAATCTTTGGAGAAATTTGGGACAGAACATTCACTTATTTACTACCTTTCTTCAAGGCAGTTTCAAAGCTGGATCATTTCCACAAAGACGATCTCAGTGATTACAAAGTGATGTCCACCAAGACACCATGCTATAATAAACCAGCCTGTGTGGATGATGAGCTTCAAGAAGCTGGAACTTGGCTACCTCCATCATTGATGATGCTCCTGAGCCTAGAGCATGCTCTATCACACTGAGAGCATTCACAAATAACCGCAAAGTGGAGAAGTAAGTCCTATTTATCAAGAGCCACCATTTGTAATGTATGTAGAAGGCACTTAACATACCCTACCTTTCTATTACTAACAACATTCATCAATAGTCAGCTTATAAAGTAAGAAACTGAGGCTTGAAGAATTTCATTGACTTGCATAAGTCACAGTTCTCAGGAATCAGTGACTAATATTCAAGACAGTCTTTCTTGACTATGTTCTGTCCAGCACACCATGTCTTCACCCCAATCTACAGCCAAGTGTAGGTCAATGTTTGGTCTTAAGATACTGTCCTAGTTTGCTTCTCTATTCCTATGATAAAAGCACTGACCAAAACCAACTTGGGGAAGAAAGGGTTTATTTGGCTTACCAGCACAATCCATCATCCAGGGAAGCCAAGGCAGGAACTCCGTGTAGGAATCTGGAGCACAGACCATGGAGGACAGCTGCTTACTGGCTTACTCCCCTGGCCTGTACTCAATCTGCTTTCTTATACAACACAGGACTACCTGCCCAGGGGTATCAATTCCCCAGTTAAGATTCCCTATACCCAGGTGTGGCAAGATGACAACTACAGTTATCTAGCATAATTGACCACGTGCCAATTTGACACACCTGGGTGGGGGGTTCCCTAATGAGGGAATTACCTCCATTGGACTGGCCTGTGGCCAGTGGGGCATTTTCTTGATTGTTAAGTGATATGGGAGGGCCCAACCCACCATGAATGGCACTACCCATGGGCAGGTGGTCCTGTATTGTATAGGAAAGCAGGTTGAGCACAGGCCGGGGGAGTAAACCAGTAAGCAGCTATCTTCCATGGTCTGTGCTCCAGGTTCCTGCCCTGAGTCCCTGCCTTGGCTTCCCTTGATGCTGGTCTGTTCTTATAAGTCAAATAAACCCTTCCCTCCCTAAGGTATGATGTTAATATTAATATCACAACATAAAACAGTACAACTTTAAAAGTCCCAGAGTCCTTAAAAAACCCAAATACTTTAACAGTTCAAATTGTCTTTTTAAAGTCTTTTACTGTGGGCTTCTATAACAAGAGAAGTACTGTCTTATTTCAAAAGGGAAGAAATGGGCACACTTAAACAAAACCTAAATCCAGCAAAGTAGCTCAAGGTTGGACATCTAGGATCCAATCAAAATCTTCTGGGCTCCAAAGGGTTTTGGCAGCTCCGCCTCTCTGGCTCTGCCATGCAACAGCACACACAGCTTGTCTGGGAGGCTCAGGGTGACTCCACTCCAGACCTGCCCACTGCCCTTGGTGGTTGTCCCATGGCCCTGGCATCTCTGATGTGCTCGGACATCTACTGAAACTGGGGCTGCTGCGCCTTCACCAATGGGCTCTTCTGGCCTCTCAGGGTGCCAAGCCTCAGCTGCTTTCTGTGACCCCTTCATGCTTTCAATACCAGAACCAGGCAGGAGACTCTTACATATTACCAAGTCCTGCTTCCAGCTTGAGATGGAGGCTTGATCCTCTTCTGGAACCATAGTCTATGTGCTGACCCTGAGGAAATGCTTCCCAGAAGATTTAGTCTCAATGATGCTGGTCTCTTGATGCTCACAGGTGACTTTCAGCCCCAGCTAACTACCATCAATTGACCCAGGAAAGCACCAAAAGTTTCTCTTCCAAAAATTCTTAATTCAACAAAAACACTTCTAAAGGGTCTTTATTTCCCTAAAAAGTCACAAGCCAGGCCTCCATCACCTATATTTCTTTTCAGCATACCTATTCCAAGCTCCATAGCAACAGCTCACTAAACTCTAAACATTCAATAATTTTTACATTTCTTATCACAAACCCACCAAGTTAGAATGCTTTGTAAGATTCAAATAGCACCCATAATTAACAACTTGGAATACATGAAATTAAAAGGCTTCTTCCCAGCAAAGGAAACTATTGATAAAATGAACAGACAGCCTACAGGATGGGAGAAATCTTTGCCAACTGTAGTTAGGACAGGATTAATATCTGGAATATATAAAGATTTACAAAAATAAAATACCACAAAACCTGTCCATTCATAAATGGACCAATGAACTAAGCAGACGACTTTTGAGACAATTTCTCAAAAGAAGAAATACAAATAGCCTATAAATACTTTTTTAAGTATTCAGTATCCTTATCCAACAAGGAAATGCAAATTAAAATTAGTTTGGGACTCCATCTCACCCTGTCAGAATGGTTAGCATCAAGAAAGCAAATGACAGCAAATACTGGTGAGGATGTGGGGAAAGAGGAATCCTTATTCACTTGCTGGTAGGAGTGTAAACTGGTGCAGCCACTATGGAAATCAGTGTGGAAGAAATATCTCAAAATGCTAAAAATAGACGCTGGAGAGATGGCTCAGCAATTAAGAGCACTGCTGTTCTTGCACCCACATGGTGGCTAACAACCACCCATAACTCCAGTTCCAGGGGAACCCAACACCCTCTTCTGGCCTCCAAGGGCACTGCATGCATGAATGTATTTATACCCATACAGGAAATACACTCATACACATAAAATAAAAACAATAAATGAAATAATAAAAAGAATGTGTCTTTTGGCCAGCAATTCTACTGATTAAGTTATACTTGACCCCCTGCCCCCAAGTTAAAAAAAAAAAAGACTTGAAGGAAGGTAAAAAGTAAAAAAGTTAAGTCTGAACCCTAAGACATGGTAGAGAAAGCACTTAAAAGGCTGAGGATGTAGTTGAGTGGTAGGTCCTTTACCCAGTTTACACAAAGGTCTGGGTGCCATCCTGAGAGAGAGGTGGGGGGGATAAAGGAAGAGAGAGAGAAGCTAATTAATATTCATCATCTCATCATTTGAAGAGTGTCAAAGATTTCTTCCCTTAGTGCTATGTAAGGACTTTTCAGGGAATAATACTTTTGTTTGTTTTGTTTTGTTTTGTTTTTAAAGAACTTCTTTGCCAAGCCTTTTCTCGAATTAGGAAAAGTCAAGTTTTCTTGTTGCATGAGGCTGTTTTTTTCGGAATCCATCAGTTAATTTATTGTGGGTATGACAGTGAGCACTGATAGACCAACTTAGAAAAGTATGCCACTGAGGTGAGCAAGTCTTGCTTGTTCTAATGTGCAGGCACTGTGGCAACATCTGAAATCGTCTGCCATGCCACTCAGCTAGGAGCTGTGGCCACTGCTCATTTCAGCTGGAGTTAGGTTTTCCTAACAAACCAAGCTGTGCTGAGCATTCAGCCATGTGTGAGTTCACAGTCTAAACCATTCTCCCCATTCCTTCCATGAATCAGCTGAAACTCACCCAAGAGTAAGGAAACTGAGTTGGGAGTGAAAGTTTAGACTCCCCATTTCCCCTCTACTGCCAAGTGCTGCTTAAAGTAAATAAAGCTTTCCAAGCAGGAGGCTCCAGATCTCTCTGTACCTGTCCCACAAAATCTCCACAAAAAGGAGTCTTTGCTTTTCTTTCTTTCTTTTCTTTTCTTTCTTTCTTTCTCTCTCTCTCTCTCTCTCTCTCTCTCTCTCTCTCTCTCTCTCTCTCCCCCTCCCCTCCCCTCCCCCACAACCACACATGCACAGACAGAGTGAAGATCACCTTGTATGAAAGTTCCCAAATAGCATGTAGGAGCTGGCACTTACCTTTCCAAAGTGTCAGTCCACACAAGATGTCCCTTGCCAGTGAGGAGCGGCCACGAAGGCTTCCAGCGCTCCAGAAAGCTTTGTTCTCATCTGAGAGCAACACACCTCATCTGTGCTATGCGTAAGCCCTGAAATTCTTGCAGAGTCCCACCCTTGAAAGTTGCAAGTCAAGATTTCTGACTGAGGGCAATCAGTCACGTGAGGCAGAGCTACTGGATGGCACCTTCAGGTTCTTCCTGATGGGATGCCGCTTCCTGTTTCACCACTGGGATAAGTAAAAACTGGAATCTGGTCAGATACTACATTACAAATGCAACCATTGCCCCATACCTTGGGTACACACAGGCATTAGTCAGCCCTGGAACAAGATGGTCTTGCTGTTTACATTAAAGGAAAGGCACTCCTAATGGCTGGCCACAGAGAAGCTTGAAACACTGTCGACAGCCCTGCATTCTAATATGAGCTGGTTTGACCACTATGTACACTCTAGAAGCTGCAGATCTTGGCAGGGCTTTTTGATAACTAAATTGTCATTATTAACAAACCACAAAACTCATCCACACACACAGGAGCACCAGACCACAGACTACGGTTTCTCTGCTTATTTTTCAGTGATGGGGAAAAAAGTGGTTTTTTTTTTTTATTTTTTAGTTTTAGGGTTTTATTTTGTTTTGTTTTTTGTTTTTTAACTATAGCAACCAAAAAATAAAATGGTCTGACAATGTTTTCTTTTTGGAGCAACCATATGTAACTTTGTTTATGGTTCAGTCTCAAAAGGCAATAACGGCAAAGAAAGACAAGCCTGTTAGGACTTAAACACTGGACATAAACAGTCTCCCCTTGAAGCACTTCTGTTCAATGCTGAGTACATGTAATTGGGAATTTATTTGAGGCGGCTCACTTTGGAGGGCCATTCCTACTTTTTCTTGTTGAAGATCAAACAGCTCTGGGCTTGGATATTTAAAGGTGCTTTGACAAGTAAGAAAGCCCCAACAAGTTCATTCACGTAGGGCTTGTAAACCAAGCGCAGCATCCTATGAGGTACACAGCACAACCTACTCTGCAGGACGGATGTTAAAAGCTCCTCATTAGCTGCTTTCAACTGATGAGTCATTTTCTATCAGCCAGTAAATGACAGTGAGTTTGAAAAGGACTAGAGGTAGAGAAAGGGAAATGACAGGTTCAAATGAATTGAAACTCCAAATTTTCTCTGATTTTAATAATGAATTTAGTCCACAGAAAGGGGACTGATAAAAAAGGCCCTTTCACTCAACACTTGCTTACTCAATTCTTCCTAGACTTTCCCTTTACAGACTCTTTTTTTTCCCCCTATTAAAAAGTTAATGAATTTAAAACATCATGAGGAGTGTGTGTGGCAGTTTATGCCTGTAATCCCAGCACTGGAGGTCCTGAGGCAGGAGAATCAACATACATTTAAGCCACCCTGGACCACATAGTAAGAAAGTGAGAACCAAAACAAACACACGAACATCATTACGAAGAAGGGCTGAACTTGCAGCAGATGGGTCAGTAGACAGGTCTTTACCTCGTTCCCAGGAGAGCTCTGGACCTGCTTGGGCTCTCTGACATGGGCTTTCTAGTTCTGGTCCATCTTCCCTTGTTCCCTAACTTATCTTCCTAATTATTTTTTTTCTCTCATCTTCTCTCTTGCTGATAAGTCTCTACCTGCCACCTTCCTCCTATAGGATCAAGACTAAACTGACACAATCTGGTTGTTGGTTGCAGCTCTGCTCTTCAGGACCCTCTTATTGTCCTTTCCTGCTGGGTTCGGGTGAAAGGAGTTTGGGGGCTGCTCCCACCTTCTCTGTATTATTTCTCAAGCTCCCCCAGCCAGCTGTCCTCCCATTCTCTTTAAACTTGCATGACTATACTGGCTGCCCTGGGAGAGCTAAACTGTTTCTGGATTTGCTTCCCCATTATTCTAGGGAATCCTCAAGGGCTGAGCTTCTGACCTTGCTGTCCCTGGCCTAGCTGGCCAATGCTTGTCAAACACCACCCCCAGCTGTAAGCAACTCACACTCATTTTCACTCCAAAGATATTTGGGGAAGAGAATATGCCTAAACTCTGTACTGGATCCCCTTCCTCCATTAAACAAACCAAAAGAGTATTGTAGAGCCACAAGTTTTTTTGTCTGTTGTGTAATGAAATGCATAGTATCTCTCAATGAAATATAATGCTCACATCAAACAGGAACTATTTATACAAAGGTCAATACTTTCTATATAATAAAAAGACTCTTATTAGTAGCTACTGTTTTGGGGGAGTGGGTAGGGGGGAGGGTGTGCTGGAACCCAGGAACTTGAACAGGCTAAGCATGTAGTCTACTGCTGATCACCAGTCAGAACACTACTTCCTGCCTTTCCTGAGTCACTGTCAAGGTGTAGTTCCTGTCTTCTTCAGGAACAATGGTGAAAATGAGTCTGTTGCATTATCTACACTAGAGGAAAACACAGGACTTGTCAGGGTTTGCCAGTAGAGACCTCTCTGGGTGCTGGGGATCTGTGTGTCTGTCCTTTGCCGACAGCTTCTCCTGTTTGCCTCCTCCTGGAAGATGGTCTTAGGGTATGGAGGGAGGATGGCAAACAGGAACATGACCCTCTCAAAACTCTAAGGGGAATTCTTTTCTTTCTTAATTTCTCACTTGTGTCCTACTACAGTATACTAGGCAGTTCACTGTTAATAGAAAAGAGAGAGTCCCAGAGTGTAATGGACAGAGCAAGATGTTTGAAGAGGCATCATTTCTTCTAAGTGATACTCAACAGTCTCATTTTATAAATGAACTTTAAGAGTGAACAGAAACATTAAATAAGTGATATATTTTGAATATTCATTAATAAAAACTAAGCCATAAAGTCAAATAGAATGGTAATGATTGATTGTACTTTTAAAAGTGTCAGAAATTTGGTTAAGATTATATAAAATGCACAAAAACTCAGTAAGAATATTTTTAAAAGTGTCACACCTCTGACAAATGAAATGCAAACAATTAAGCATGACATTAGTGGACCAGTTTCATGGGGAGTGAGAGGGGACACACTGCAAAACAGATGAAATTTTACACAGAGAATAAGTTTGTTAAATGTTGTTAGTGTGGAAAATGCCCACCTAGTCCATGTACATAGTAAAGTAGTTGAAGAGAGAGGAATGAAATAGGGATCGTGGGTATATGTAGACCAGAGGCAAAACCAAGATTCTGGAGGGCCACGTGAGAACAGGACATGGGGAAACAAGCTCTGGGCTCCAGCAGGAAGAGAACTAGATACTGGGCCAAAAGCTCTGCTAGCCAGGATGCAAAGGGAGCACATCCACATGGAGGACAGCATGGGAGAAAGGAAAGTAGCAGGCTTTCAAGTTGCAGGTTAGGCTTTAAACCAACCTTAAACCATCTCCTAGGGAAGAGAAGGTAAGGCAGAATGGACCTTTGTTTCCATCAGAGAAGGGAAACCGCTGTCAAGAAACTTGGTGGGTGTGGCCCTTACCGTATTAATCTAATCAGTCAAAAGCTGTGAGCTGTTACTATCAACAAATTTTGTCTTCTTATAATGTTTAATCTTATCATTTTTCACATTCTTTTCAAATGCTAAGGTTTGATCACAGTCAGAAATTTTAACTCAAAATGGTATCAACCCATATTTTCTGTAGTACACATGTATGATATGGGGAAATTCCTTCGAGATACAGGAAACAGATCTCTACACAAATGCTTTCCACTATACACCAGGATTTCCTTCTTTTTTAAAAAAAAAAACAAACTACTTTCATTTAGTGTGTGCGCACACATGTGCATGCATGCGTGTGTGTGTGTGTGTGTGTGTGTGTGTGTGTGTGTGTGTGTGCTTGTGCCATGGTGAATGTGTGGAGGTCAGAGGACAACTTGAAGGAACTAGTTATCCCACTGTGTAGATTCCAGGCACTGAACTCAGGTCATCAAGTGCCTCTACCCCACTGAGCCATCTTCCCAGCCCATGGGATTTCTTAGGGGACATGCTCAGATGTTTATATCCTTGGATAGATATCGCCACTGACAGAATGTGAGGACTACATCTTATTGACATAAATCAGCCCCCTCTCCCATTATGACTCACACAAGTCCCCAAATGGATTATAGGACTATATGACCTGAATTTCGTCTTCCTCCTCTCTTGCTACCCAGCTCCCACACTTACCCTGACTGAGAGGTTGAAAGGCTCCCTGGCATACGACCTGAGAGACTAGTTTGGGTGAAAAGAGGAAACTGAAGAGATGCTGGCTATATTTGGATAAGTTCCCAGAACAGAGAGTTCTCATACACTGGGACTCCCTAAAAAAAAAAAAAAAGCCTACTCACTCTCCTGCATTGTTTCCCCTATGTCACCTACCCCATCCTAACTTACTCTCTTGTCAATTTCTTTGGAACAGTCTCTGTCACTCCCATGAAAGCTCTAGAAGGGCTAGGATTTCTGCCTGCCCTGACCACAGCTGAATCCTCAGGGGCTGATAGAACCATTCCTCGAAGCATTGATGCTCAATGCAACAGAGTAAATTTATTTCTCTATATACTCATAATTGTGCCTCGTCCACCCTACCACAACAGGTATTTGCTTTTTCAAAGGTTATCGACCGGGGTCTTTCAAAAACTTGAAGAGATTATTGCATGTCACGATGGTGGCCAGTTCTTCTGGGAGTGTGTTAAGAGGTAGGAAGATTTTTTTTTCAGTTTGTCCAACAGTGAGGACTTGACACAAATGTCTCTTAGAATCACTTTGGCATATACCCTGGGAAGGCTACAGTGTTCTTTGGGAGTCAGACCACATCACTGTGTTTGTGGACTGTCAACACAACTGTCCCTTAAAGGCCAGTGTTTGGCTAGATGGTCATGTACACAGCTGCTGGCCAACCTCTAGTTGTGGTTGCTAAGGCCCAGTCCCAGTTGGTACTCATAAAATGATATGATTCTTATTAGCTGTGTGACTATGGATAAGTCACTTAGCCTCTCAGACCCTCATGTTTCTCAATTGCAGAATGAGGAAAATAGTATTAATAGCAATACCATTAGTGATGTTAAAAGCATTAGTCTATATAAAATAAGCTCCTAAATGG